CACTAAGAGACACGGGTCTCCAACCAACTTTCTTTCTTCTTCTTTTTTTTTAAATAAATGTAACTTTAAAAATATATATATATATATATATATATATATTTGAACTCTAGAAAACAATGATGCGCATGCCACATCCTAAGGGCAATTGGTGTCACAATCGCAATTCTTAACCAAAAACCCAACAGACAATAATTCCACCACAGTTACAAGAGATCTTTCCATTTTAGTCTCACTTGGGATTAAGCAACACTTCTTTTATAATAAGAAAAAAAGCTTTCGTCGAGAAAAATGAAAGGATTATAAGGACATACAAAAAGAACAACCCCACAAAAGGAGTCCAACTAGAATGAGGAGGGACTCTAATCCAAAAGAATACACCTAACTAATAATTAGAAAAAAACCTTAGAAACATAAATTCACACTACCTCAATTTCTATACACACCTCCACGCTATCCTCCAAATTGATTGTATTCCTCACACCTTCAGTATTACATCCACATTGATCTCCTATACATCCAAACACTCTGTCCTCCCACATATTTAACGATAATTCATTAACCTTATGCATACACCATAACTTGGACTACTCTGCCTCGCCCATGTTCCTTCAAATTCCATCTTTCAAATTATTGTACAGAAGACRATTAAGGATTTTTAAGAATTCGTTGCAATATGCCTTTCTCTGTGAAAGAATGATTGCTTTAGTTTCTGGGTTCATCTAAATGAAAGCTGAAGTATTATAGTTGAATACATAAAAGCAGTTTTGAGGGAGTGTTGGCTAAAGAGGAAGAGAAGAATTTTCCAGGTAAGCCTTTGAGAAAATATTTCTTCTGTTGCTACTCTTTGGAGCCCCTGCTCAAAACAATTTTTTTAACTACTCTCCCTTCTATGTTAACTCTAGAACTTTTCTCCCTTTTACATATTCCAACCATAAATGTAGTTTGTTTCTCATCAAAAAGTTTCCTCTCTCAAATAACACGCCCTTTTCCTTCCATGTGTTATTGTTCCCTAAATAGAACTTCTAAAACTGCTCTAAATTGACGACACAAGAGCAATAAGTCCAAGTTAAAAGATACTTTCATGTTAAACAGATCATAAAGAATGATAAACCACTGGTTTGCAGAGCTTATGGGAGAGAGTGCAAAATAGAATAATATATCTTGCAATAGCACTCCAGCAGAAGGTAGCATGCTAGTAGCTGTCACAATTGAGAAGAATCTTACACCAAGGAGAACAGAATAATAAGACAGCATACCTTGTAATCTGCAAGATAGAGAAGGAACATCGTTATGTAACTCAAACGCCTTCAACTAAAGATGAAATACCCTTATGCATGAAGTTATGAGCAGCAAAAAAGTGTCAAAAGCATTCTCCTTAGTCAAGATAGTAGTACCATGAAGACCGTAGGTTTCAATTGGCAAATAAACATTTTATTTAGTCATTTATTTGTTTATTTATTTATGATGTATCAGAGTAAGCATCGTGCAGCGGGTTAAAATAAGATGGAATTAAGWTGTATGGTGTAAATAATAATAACTTAGGTAGTGAAGGAAAAATGAAATTGTATAAAAATTGTATGATGTACCCTTCATTATCTTGAGCACGGGGCCTAAAGCGAGGTTCTCGATTCACTACTTGAGGGCTTCCCCTTGAACGTTGCATCCTCCTCCGCTGTTGAACACCATAATTATAAACCTCTCTCTCCCTGTCTAAAGTCCCTTCAACATCTGCACATCCCTCATCTGACTCTTTTTCATGACACCTACTACGCTTTTCTGGTCGATCTCCCTCAATGTCTGCATCCCTCTCTTTCTTCCTCTCTCTACCCTCTCTATCGGCATTTTTCCAGCTATCATAATCTTTTTGCTTTTTTTGATCTGAAATTGGATTATCCTGCTCCACCATTCTCACAGATACTTCACCTGACTCCTTCTCAAGGTGTGAAGTCTCCTTATCCATCCCATTCCATGATTCTCTCTTCGCATGGTCTTTTTCCCTTTCACGAGGTCTTTCCTTGTCTTTCGAGGTATCTTTCCGGTCCCTCTCCCACCTGTCTGTATCTCTTTCTTCCTTTGACAAGTCTTTCGGCTCAATATTGCTATTTGTTGCTTGAGTACTGCTCCTATGATCATTTCTTTCCTTTTCTTTATCACCCCAATCCCGCTGCTTTGTGTCTTTCCTTTTCCTGTCCTTCTCTTTAAATTTATCTTCACCTTTTGAATCTATTTTGTTCTCTCCAACAGCCTCCCTTGTTTCAACATACTCTTTCTCGTCAGTAGTCAGGGCTTCTTTTGCAGCCTCAGCTGCACTCTGGGAATTGGTGCGTGAAACATGCCAGGGTTCCATGCTTCCAACTGAAGTTTCAGGATATCTCTTTCCTCTATGGTATTCTTTTGATTCTTTCCAGTTCAAATGACTGGATGCTGATCCATAAATCTCTTTTTCTGACTTCAATTCACCCTTGTAATCGTTATAACTATCTCTGTCATATTTCATTTCCTTAATATCGTCCAATCTACTCTCGTATCTCGTTTCCTTCTCCAACTTCACAGCTTGAGAATCCCTCCTCTCGTCACCAAACAGCTCTCGAGCCTCCACTCTCGAATCCCGATTCTCAAACCTGAGGTCTCCGCCGTCCTTGGAGTCCCGCAGCTCCGGCCRGCTTTCTGAAGCAGCAGAATGATCTACATGAGGATCATTAGAGGACGATGGCATTCGAAACATTGAGTGCAGCGGGGATCTTCTATCTCCATCGCGGGATTCCGTGCGGGGAATCTTTGACATTGGAGTGTCCTGACCCATCTCAAAGGAGGGACGATACTGCATTGGAAGTGATGAAGGAAGCTTCCGATAGGGACTCGAATCATCGTGGGGATATTTGGAAGATGAAGAGTGACCACCATCATCATGGGACCTCTTCGGAGCACCACTCATATCAAACAGTCAGTGGGTACCCACAGTTCAGCCGATAGATATCAAAACAAAGAAATAAAAATGTTCCTAAAATTCAACCCAGTTGTCCAAAGTAACCTGTTCGAAAGAATAGAGATCACAGCATTCAAAACCCAGACAAAATTCATCGAGGGCATTATCGCAAACAGATTGCAAGCAGAACAAATTGGAAAAAAAAAACAATCAATTCATTCACCTCGCGTTCCAATTGATGCACACCACAAACTCCCAGTGGCAGGAGGATGGAAAATGAAACCCCTAATGACGAAGCGAGAAGAAGAAGAAGAAGTTTCTTACCTCGCCGAACATGGAGTAGCGCATTAGCTTCGCATCTCCGGCTCCGCGGGTGTGTCACTGTGGCCTTGTGTTCGGCAAATACGAAGGAATATGCAAAGGAATAGTTGAGAGAGAATTCGAGAAATACGGGGGACAAAAATTTCAGTGAATTTCAGTGAAACGGCGACACAGCGGCTCAAGATGTGGGCGTCAGGATTTTTCCACCGCGGTGCCAATGCCAATTTCTTTTTAGTAAATCTCCGATCTTAAGCGCTGGCCAAGCCCATGTTGATCGTTCATTTAGTTATCAAAATAAAAAGAATCCAAATGAAAATCAATCAAAATATATGAAAATGATTATTAAGATATTTTGTTATTTTCTAACATTGTTTATTAAAATTCTTTTGAAATTCTATTKATTAGAAATATGTGCTATGAGAATAGGAATCTAGAATATAGAGCATTTTTAGTTCTAACTAATTGTAAAATATGTTAATTAAAAATTGTGTTAATATCTTTTAAATTTATTTTATTGCTATTTGATTGGTAGTAAATATTTTTGGAGAATAGTACAATTTTGGTCCTTAAGACCTTAACTTTGGTCGAAATATTTTAAAATCATTTATTTTTAGTCCTAGAATTTATTGAATAGGTTTTCTTGACAAATGTTGTCGTTAAGTATCTCATTAATCATTGGGAAGATGGTTGCGCTAACTTRACACATAAAAGTTGTAATATACTCGTGGTTAAGATTTTTTCCTTCCCTGTTTTTTTGTTTACATAAATAGAATGTTTATGAATTATGCTCATTTGATAATCATTTATTTTTTGTTTTCTATTTTTGTAAATTAAACTTATAAATATTGTTTTCACTTATGTATTTCTTTTATTTTTCTATATACTTTTGAAAAACATATACAAAATTTAATCTATATTTTGGAAACTTAAAAAAGTAATTTTCARAAACTTATTTTTATTTTTATTGTTTTTGAAATTTGACTAAGAATTCAAATGTATTTTGAAAAACAATCAGAATGTACTAAAAAAATTGTGAACAGACAAATATATTTTTAAATAACAGAAGACTAAATATGAAATATAACTCCCAGAAGCATTTCGTCGCTTATCTCTGGGTGCCTAGGTATCCACCGTAAGCCTTTCTTTGTTTGAACCTCGCCTTTAACTTTAAGGCTAATAAATTATCAAATGGAAMCTTAAAGTTTTCATTTTTTCAAAACCGAACCTAAACACCTCCATTTTAAAAAATGAAACCTAAAAAGTGAATAGTCTTTCATTTTTCTCATTAATTCATATATCATATAAATAGTAGAACTATTCAACACCCTCAAAACTTTTTCCTTTTTCATACACATCATGCTATAAGTTTCTCACCTTGTTTTCAAAAAAATTATACCTTRAAAACCAATATACCCCAAATAATTAATTTACACTCTAAATATACCATCTAAACAATTTAGAAATACTATAAATAATCAATATATGCAAAACACAAAAGAAAAAACTAGTTTATTTTCCCCCAAAAAGGCATAAGAATGACTACTTTTTTATGTGTCATTTCATACCTATGTTTTTAAGTCCAATTTGATAATAATTTTGTCTCTAATTTTATGTTTTTTTTAACTATCCTTATTTGCTTACAATTTAAATTACTAAATTTCAAATAGAAAATAAGTATTTAAAATCATTTTTTAGTTTTCACAACTTAGACTTAAATTTTGAAATTTTACTTTTAAAAATATAAATAATAAGATAAGAAAAAAAAAACTCGCATAAAAAGAGTGGTCGTTAGATAAAAAGATTTGATTTTTAATATATTTTGGAGATAATGTGGATGGTTGTTTTTAATTTTACACTTTTAGATTCTACATGTAGGATTTTATTTTAATACCGATTTCATCCTTATTTATTGCATTTATATTTATTATAATTATTCGTTTTTTTAAATATAAAAGATTTAGTTTCGTTATCATAATTCTTTAATTATTGTGGGTCCCATACAAATTTTTAAAACTAATCCCTTAATTCACTCATTCAAAAAAGATTTATTCTTTTGATTTACCAATATTATTAATTACAAAAATATCCAAATCATTTTCCCTCCTTTTGTAATTCCCCACCATCAGATTTCTGCTTAATTCACTACTTGAACATTATAAATTATATACGATTAAACTTTTTGAKTTAGATATATCCGRAGACAAACTAAATTCCATATAAACTTCAATATCCTACAATTATCGTCAAATTACTTACAACTATCTCTTTAGTTAATATTCTAATTCAAACTAGTTAATAGTTACAACTAAATGATTCTAACTATTTCTATATCTTTTTTAAATATACTCAACTTAGTATAAGGAATCAAACTCACTATAATATATATCCTCATATATACAATAGTTCACAGAGTTGAGAAACCTGTCATGCCATGCTTCATCAATTTCTACTTTTTCCTTTTAGTGACTGTTAATTCTTTTGTTTGAGAAATTACGTCTAGCAACTCAAGTATCCGACAATAATAGTTCCGTTTCACAACAAATTTTGCATCTCAAATTCTAAATGCATCAATACAATATTCAAAATATATGGATATGATTGATTATTTTTATTTCTAAAATATAGTTTATATATATATATTTCTGATTAATGTCAATCAATTCTTTTTATGTTTTTTTCATTTTAGGTTAATGTTGTATACCWGTACTTATTATAAGTTATAATATATATAATATGTGTACTTTTGAAATCAGCTATTATTAGTGATATAATTAAATACTGTATATACGTCTTTATACTCGATTATAACTTGCATATCATGTATTATTATAAAATTTAAAAAAATATTTTAAGGTGTACAATATTTTAATTTTAGTTTATCTGTGTATATATTTCTTATTATGTCAATTGATTTTGTTCTTGTTTTTTTATTAATTTGTTAATGCTATACATAAATACTTATTATAGGATATATAACATATATACTATGTGTACTTTTTGAAATCAATTATTATTAGGGATCTAATAATATAGTTTATATATGGCCTATTTATGTTGAGTTATAACTTACATACTATGGAGAAGATCATTGTTAGAGATAAAAAAAAGAGAGAGTTCTTAAACAATGGAGACTTCAACACCCATGGAAAAGCATTAGCGTGCAGTACTTCAAAACTCCTCCGGAGACAACCCTTATCCTTGAAAATCTTGAGATTCCTTTTTAACCAAATGAACGAAAGCACTCAACTGCAACAAAACCCACAAAAATCTCACAACAAAAATAGAAAAAAACAATTCGAAAATCAAGAATCTAGTGTAGTAATAAAACCGAAAATCAAACGCACAAAAATTGAATAAGTTTTAAATACCCAAAATCAAACGCAAAAAACCTCTCTTTCATGTGTGCTTAAGTTGAATATGGCATTTAAGTAAAGAAACATGAATATTGAAAGCTAAGCTTACCTCCGACTATCGAAAATGGCTGCCGGAATGTTAGATGAAGAAGAATGAAGAAGACGAAGAACTGGCCGTTTGAGAGAGCCACTATATTGCAGCGGCTGCCAGAAAAGGAAAATAGAATAATGGAGAAAATGAAAGGATTTGGTCAATTTTTTTAAAATAAAATGCTGTAATCCTGGGATTCAAAAAATAAATTCTACTTCTCCATTTTAGTTTTTAATCTTTAAATATTAATTACATACATATAGAAGAGGATATATTTGTAAAATACTAATGGGTTCCATCTCAAATGGTGTATTTTATGACAAAAGTGTAAATTTTAAAAAATGAATCTTTTTGTGTAATTAGTACCTCTCAATAGTCTACTAATCTACTTATCCCTATATTTTGGAATGATGTATTTTTAGTCACTTATATTTTGTTTGGTTTTAAGAAGTAATTGAAATATTAATACAAAATTGTTTCATTTCTTTTTTCTAAAAAAAAAAATCATATTTTGAAACAAATAAATATCTTTTCTTTAAAAAATAAAAATATATTTCGTTTTTTGTAAATATTCTTTTATAAGAAAATTTTTGCTAAAAAAAAATCTTTATAAAGTCATTTTCTCCTAAAAAGTTAGACATTTTTTAAAGCACTCGTGATATTTATAAAAGTAAAAAAAAAAAAAAAAAATCTTTCTTTAAATCTTATTTTAATATTTTCCTAAAACTATGACAGAGATTATTGAGGTGATGAATTTATTTTAGGAGGCCAATTTAAATTCAAATAAACAAAATTTTCTTAATGGCTTGAGGCCACTCATAATAATTATTGTACATTACAATAAAACGAAGACATTTAAAAATAAAAATAAAATTCTTTTTTTAAAAGCCATCATCTTGAAATTAATATGAAAAATTAAATTATCGTTCATTGAACAGTGTTATGAGGTGTTAATACCTTTCACATACACAAAAACCCTAAACCTAAATCTTTTTGTACAGATTAACTTATCCATACATTTGAGTGACTAGACACCCTATAAATAAAGACCGGTGGCGACTCCATTTTTCTCCTCTCGGGAAGAAAGTCGACCGCTTCACATCGCAAATCCGTAGCGACAATATATATAATTTTTTTTTAGTGATATTTACAATGAAGCCATCATGAAATAACCATTCTCAGATCATCGTTTCATTCTCACAATATATAAGACTTCCCCAAAGCTAGAACAAATAAATTATGCACACATAAGAAGGTACAAAAATACTATGAATGACTCAATGTCGAGTGTTCTGAACGTGTCGAATAATCAAACGAAAAAGCTATATGAAGTGAACTTTTTAGAACAAATAAGGATCTCCCAAGTCCTACTACTTAAGATTTAATATCCTACGAGTTACCTAATTAACCAAATGTAGTAGGGTCAGGCAGTTGGACCGTGATTAGTCGAAGTGTACGCAAGCTGGCTTGGACACACGTATTTCAAAAAAAAAAAAGATCTCCCCAGTCCCAAATTTTGTCAAACAAAGTGAGAATGTAATACTTAGAGAGATAATTCCACAAATATTTGATGCTATTTTATGACTCGTTTGATATGTTAGGCAACCAACTCCAGCTCTTTCCCTACTAGAATGAAACAAGTGAAAATACCATCGCCAAGGCTCAGAATATTGTTTAAAGCACACGCTGGACTCGTTCGCATTAAACAATTAGTATGAGTGAGAGAGTAAGAGAGATGCAAAGGTACATAGAAACAAAGCCTACAAATCACATAATACAACAAAGTTCAATAATGTCACTTTCTCGTGCGAGTATGTAGCCATGTCGAGCGCCTACGTCACGTCACAAGAACCCAGGATGATAGGCACTACCCCTAAAATTCAGTATCCAAACAAGCTACCATAACCTTCGAAACCATCGTCCTTGCAAAAGGTATGTAGCTCAAGCTATACCTATTAATCAAAAAAAAAAAGAAAAAAAAAAGTGAATCACAGATAAGGGAGATGGGTGGACAAGCATACAAAAAACATTTTTAGACCATATTATCTTATCCTTTTGAATCAAGGATATACAGATATGAAAGAGAAAACTTTAGCATAGCCCGACTAGTTAATACACATTCCCTAAAGATCGGAGGTTCTAATCTCCACCCACACCCCCGTTATCAACTGAAATTTCACCACTGCTCCAATTCCAAGCCAAGTCATTTTATTCTTACTTCAAACCAACAAAATGGACTTAATAATAAGAATATAGCGAAAGACATTTCATTTGAAATCAACAATCAATCATCAAGAACAAAAAACCCGGACCCCAGTGAAAAGGTTCTTATAGTGATTTACAAATAATTCCTACATAGGAACCTGAGTCGCATACCCTCCAAAGCGATACACTAGAGTTAAGCTTCATTTTAGCTCACCTGCCTAAATATTTCCTTCAAGGGAATTATTTGATTGGGTAGTCTCAGATTCTTCCTAAGCTTGTTTCTTCTGCTTATTTGATTAATAAATTGAGACTTATCACAAGACAACCATCTTCACAATATCGAGACACTTGTTATACATAACTCAACATCCTGGTTCTAAATGATACCTTTTTTTTTCCTGATAAAAGACGGGAACCATGTATTCAAACGACCAAGGAAAAAACCTAAGGGCAGTGCGTTGACAACACCAGAGTAACCACTTTCTAATTGTTCACAATCATATGAAGACTAGAAACAGATGATGATAGTTTGAATGTTTCTAACTCATGGAGTTATATTGGCATCTGCTCCAGATTTTTAAGAGGATAAAAACAGATGTTAAAATAAGTGAGATAAAATAGCAAGACAAGGAGGAAACAAACGGATTCGACTAACCAAATTAGGCCACCAAATTCTAAAATGAGCGCAAGAAGTGTCAACAGCTTGTTGTGGACCTGCAGTATAAGTATATGCAAGTGGGATGAGAAATTAATAATGACTTGCCAAAACGAAGACGAGGATTCTCTATATGTGGGTTTAAGATAGTTTGACAGGACCACAGCACAACTTACATAGAGAGCACAAAAAAGAGCGAATATCATGCTAGCAAGGTATATGGCTGTCGCATAAATCCGAACAGGATCAAGCATCATTGTCACTTGCCTTTTGGGGCCAACGAGAAATGCTGTGCTGCCAAATAAACAATCAAGACACGGGAAAAAAAAACTTATTTATTTATTTTTGGGTGGGGGCACAGGCAGAGGTTTGGTTGAATAAGAAAGCTATCTGGGAGCAAAAGAGTCCAAGGGAGACAATATTTCAATGTGACAGGATCAAGATAAAAACGTTAAATTGAAATAGAAATTAACAGAAATTGATATTTATACAAGAAAGAAAAAATTACAAGTTCTCAAGTACTTCAAGACTTCTAGACTCTCCTCAAAGCTAATCCCAAAATCTACTCGCCATAAATCCCGCCAACCTAATGTATCTATAGTATAGCCACCCCTTTAACAAACTCCTTAGTTAATGCTAATACCTAACATTACTCCGCCCCAAAACATACCTTGTCCTCAAGGTATTGAGAAGTAAATAGCATCTGAATGGCACCAGCTATTGTCCCTTATGTGGAGGCTAAATTAGAGATTAGCTAATAGTGGGACAAATAGAGTTCTATAAGTGCATTCAGTCCCACAATCATATCAATACRTACAGGCTGACAAGGCATGCAAGTGATGATTATTTTCCCACAATTATTGGAGCCGAGACATAAGTATCAGAATCATCATCCTTTGTTATTATATATATATGCCCAAAGATAACTTTGACCAAAGAGTAGTATCTTCTTCTAACTTTCATTGCACACTCTCACTCTTGTGTCGTCGATGCCTATATGTAAATAGTGTCCAGATCTCCCTCCATCATTAGCAACCTTGCTCTAAAAAACCTTTGGTTAATCTCATCGGTCACCATTTCACCTATTTGATTCTCCTTCCTCTTTCTCACAAATTTTGCATCTTCAAACTTACTTTCAGGGTTGCGGCCTTCTTTCTCTCCTCTTTGGTCACACCACCTTTTAGGCCCTATGGATTTTCTCTCACATCTCCTTTACATTGCCAAGTGCCAAGCTCCTCTATCAAACCTCTTCAATCGTACTTTTGTTGATGTTCTCTAGTCTGGCCACGCTCCACCCCTGGGTTGTGAGCATTTAATATTGTTTGTATGGGTTTGACCATTTTTTATCCAAGCTAGTTCAACTTGTGATTCCCAGCATTAAAATTCTACACTTGACTTATTGCTCAATTTGATTCGCCTCCCCTTGATTTTCCATTAGTTCATTGGCATTGCAGGCTTTTTATTTCTTTAGATTTTTAGCTTCCATTTATTTTTCCAGCTTACTTTTAGAATCCCTTCAAATCTATTTCTTCATCTCCAAGTTGCACTGATTCCATAATATTCTTCATTTCGAGCAGCAATATTTGCATTTTCAACAGTATTTCTAAATCTATATCCATGATCAAAATGGATGCTTTGATACCAATTCGATAGAGCTAGAAATTGAAATAAGTATTAGCAGAAATTACTATTGATATAAGAAAGGAAAATTCCAAATTCCTAAGCACTTTGAGAGGCCAGGGCTCTCCGCAAAACTATTCCCGAAATTTACCCACTTTAAACCCCTCCAAYCTATTGTGTTTATCACTACTTTTCCAATAAACTCCTTAGTTAATCACTAACATGCCCCTAGCATCTTAATAATATTTCTAATATTTATTGTTTATCATAATAGTATTCCTAACATTCGAAGAGACACACCTTATCCTCAAGGTGTATCCATTAGGGTGGATCACATAGGGGCTTGAAAGGCACTCCCATAAATTCGTGGAAAGCTATTTCTAATGGGCTTCCCTTGTTCTCTCAATTTGGCTTTTGTTTTGTGGGAGATGGTTTGGATACGTACTTTTGGAGGATAGGTGGTTGGAGGATAGACCCTTCTCCTCACTCTTTCCACATTTATATCATTTATCCTCGATAAAGAATCAGTCGGTGGCTTTGTCCAGCCTTCTTCTAGGATTTCTGTGTGAGAGCCCTAATAGAGGTAGTTTGGGAATAGTATTTGTTAAATTATTTTTTCCTATTGTATTTAGATTAGGGTTTTCTTGTTCTAGTAGGTAAGTGTTTTCCTTATCCTAATAGGCAAGAATTTCGTTTTAGTTTCTTCTATGTGACAACTATTTATAGTCTTGTATCAATCCTTTGAAAGAATACAAGAGAATTATTTTTCTTATAATTGACATGGTATCAGAGCCAAGTTTCTTCTGAAATATTTGTGGGAATTAGGGTTTTGTGTCCATTAGGATTTTGTATCCATTAGGGTTTGAAGTTTTGAACACTATTTTGCAAGTGTTCATTGTACCCAACCCACAGCAATACCGCCGCCGCCGCCGCCGACCACTGCCGCCGCTGCCGTTTGCTGATTCGCGTGGCTGCTAGGGTTGTTGTTGTAAAGGGTGGCTGGTAGGGTTTTAAAAGGGAAATCTAAACATTTGTTGGTTTGGTCACGATTTCCGGTTCGGATTGGTTCACGATTTCTGGTTCGACTTGGTTCAGTTTCTAACCTCTGTTCAGCTTAGCCTCGGTTCAGTAATTTTTAGTCCGGTTCTACTTGATTTGGTCCGGTTCAGCAGGTTTACTCCATCTATCCAGCTCTCAGGTTATTTGTTTAACTTTTCTCTAATCAAAGTCAACGGATTCCACCAAAGCTTCCAAAGAAACTATCATGGAAGAAACTAATAAATCTTCCACAGGAGACCTACAATACATCCATCCTACTTATAGATTGGATGGAAAAAATTATTTAAAATGGTCTCAACTTATTCGAACTTTCTTGAAAGGAAAAGGAAAATCGAACCACATTATTGGGGGAGGACCTAAACCGAAAGATCCAAAGTTCGATGCATGAGATGAAGAAGATTCAATGATCATGTCTTGGTTATGGAATTTAATGACTCCTACTGTTAGTGATACATGTATGTTTCTTAAGACTGCAAAGGACATATGGAAAACAATGAAGCAAACTTATTCCAAAGTAAAAGATGATGCACAAATATTTGATATCAAAACTCGTATCTTTGGAACAAAACAAAGTAATCGAACAGTGACAGAATATTCTACAATTCTTCAAAGTTTGTGGCAAGAACTAGATCATTATCAATGCGTTGATATGAAATGTACTGATGATGCTGCTACTCTAAACAAGTTTGTTGAAAAAGACCAAATTTATACGTTTCTTATTGGTCTCAATGTAAAATTTGATGCTGTTCGAATACAAATTTTGGGCAAAGATCTCTCATCTCTGAATGAAGTTATTGGCAGTATTAGAAGTGAAGAATCTCGCCGTAGTATTATGCTGGAACCACAGACAGAAGGATAGATCATGAAAACAGGAGGTACTAAAATGACGGATGAAAAGCAACGTATAGGAGCTAACAATTGGGATGTAGGAAAAACAGGAAATAAAGACCATGTAGGCAAAAAACCAGGGCACATCAAGGATAAATGTTGGAAGCATGGAAAACCTGAAAACTATCAGAATTCGAATTTCAAGAATTGGTCAAATAAAGGTAATGCAAATAGAGGAAATAGTCAAGCTCATATTTCATCAAGTCAGAAAGGCGTTGTGACAGAAGAGATTTCTGAAAAAGGAAAACTAAACACAGATGAGATTGAAACGCTAAGGAGTTTTTTGGAAACCTTAAAAAAGAATCCTAATCAAGGTACATGTTCTGTAGCCTTTTCAGGTACAACTTCACATCCTAAACTCTCTACTTAGATTATTGACTCTGGTGCAACTGACCATATGACAAAGAGTAGTTGTCATTTTTATCTCCTATAGTCCTTGTCCGAGCAATAAAAAAATATCTACTGAGATGGTACTCTATTAACAGTGGCTGGTCAAGGAGACGTCCAAATAAATTCAAACATTACCTTAAAAAATGTGCTCCATATACCCCGGTTAACTGTTGATTTGATATCAGTAAGAAATTTGATACAAGATTTGGGATGCAAARTAACATTTTTTCCTTCTTGTATTTTTCAGGACCAGGGCAATGGGAAGATGATTGGACTTGCTAAAAAAAAAGATGGACTTTATTATCTTGATGAACCTATTGGCAAGGATAGTGTTGGGAAGGATGTTTAAGTCTTTGTTTCCTCACAAACTCATCCCTCTTTAAATAAACTTTGGTTGTATCATTATAGACTAGGGCATGCCTCATTTAGATCTCTTAAATTTTATTCCCGGATTTGTTCCAAAACTTTAGTTTTGATTCAATACAGTGTGACATTTGTGAATTTGCTAAACACAAGCGTGTTCCATTTCCTAGTAATAATAAACGAACTTCAGTTCCTTTCTCTCTTATTCATAGTGATGTTTGGGGTCCCTCCAACGTGCCAAATACTTCCAAATTACGCTGGCTTATTGTATTCATCGATGATTGTACTAGGGTTTCGTGGGTTTATCTTCTAAAACAAAAATCTGATGTTGGTTCTACCATTCAAACATTCTTCCATATGATCGAAAATCAATTTGGAATCAAACCCAAACGATTAAGGTCTGACAATGCTCGAGACTACTTCAACCAAACATT